CACTGTTGTCCCACAAAACAGGGATGACATTTCCTGTAGAGGTAGCTTCTCCTAAGATGCTGAGCAGTTAAACCTCCTATGAATATTCTGCATTAACCTCCCCTGTTCCCCTCTGCTATTCAGATTCAAGAACCTCCTACTACCTTTTTTTTTCCTTCTCTGCTCACAAGAAGCCTTAATAGATCAACAATTCTATTTCTGGACATCATTTCTAAACATTTTGACCTACTGGTTCTTGTCTCAGCTGGAGACACCAAGTCTGAGAACTACTAACAGCACATCTTGAGAAACCAGTTTTTCCTGTTGAAGCCTGGCTTGGGTTAACACAGCAGCCTTTTAAAAGTGCCCATTTCTCCACCCTCTGGTCCACAGCAAAACTGCAGTTATTACTTATTTACCCATAAGTCATGCATCTGCTGAGATTTTTTCCTTTAAGAACCAATTATTATGACTTTCTCACTGATTCCAAAGCAGCTTAAAAAAAAATGCAAAGTTTGTTTTGTTTCACTGAGCATTATTCCCTTCATTTCCTTCTTCTCCATCCTTTATGCTAGCCATGTTTCCCTTTTCACAAGGCACTCTGATCCCACGTGAGGTTTTTAATGACAAATAATGCACCTTCCTCTTGTGACACCGCTTCTCACTGCCTGCTCATTTGAAGAGAAGCTACAAAGCAACACAAATAAGCAAAAACCAGAAAAATTCAGTTACTTTCCAACACCCCCTTCTTCCCTAAATCACTCACCATTACATCTGCTGCTAGCAACAGAGTCTCCTGAACACTCAGATCATCTTCTGATTCACCTGAGCTACCAGAGAAACCTGCACACTCATCACCACCAAGCTTGAAGAGACAGCTAACAAGCCTCAGATGGACAATCAAGTCTTTCTTGCTTTTCAGTACCCAGTGAATCCTTACTAAACTAAGAAAAGGCAGGAATTTTAAGTTTTCCTAAAATCAATGTGACTTGCAGCTCATAAACCCATCCAATGCTGCCTTGGAAAGGTAAGGGGACCACTGATACTGTACTGGCAGCAAGACTTGTCAAGTTTGCTGGCAAAGAGAAGCCAGCATGCAACCCACAAGAAGACACAGGGCAAACACTCACGCTGACTTTGGCATAGATGTGCCTGTAGTACAGCTCCTTGTATAGTATCAGGAAAACTGCATCTGGAAAACACGACAGAAGAGGACATTAGCAAGCCACAAGGCCTATTAGCCTCCTGCCACAACAATAAAGGGAGACACTAAAAGACACTTTGCTCAAGTCTGGCTTCTTGCCAGGCATCTGCTGAAGGAGTTGTCAGAGTGAACAAAGGCAACTGAGTCAGGCAGTAACAAAGCTGCGCACCTGCTAACTCAGGATCAGGAGGGATTCAGTTCCTTCTCTCTCTGACAACCCTGAAATTTTCCATTCTGAAAATGGAAGACTCACCATTTCCAACCTGAGGAGCAATGGCCTCAGCCTCTGGCCATGGAGTGTTCTTAAAAAACCTTTCTGTCAGTTTTGTCCAGCTGAAAAACAGACACACATGTGATATGAGAAGCCACTTCTCACTCAGTATGACAGTGCTGGAGTCAGAGATGACAACAGAGAGAGGTGTTGGACTTGGTCAAAGCTAAGCAGCACCACCAACCCCTGTTAGTAAATCCAATGTTGAAGGAAAGAAGGAGAATTGCAAACTAAGCAATGAAACTTCAATTTATCCCCAGGCACGAAACAGATGTGAATGTCACTTCCACATTCCCTCTATGTCAAGCTGACATGGCTACAAGCCAGACTGAAGTAGCTGTTGGGAAGAGACACAAAAGCTACAAAGCTACCTCACAGCTCTCTGCAAACTGCCCAACAAACACCACTGAGATCCCTTTTTGCAGCCTCCCTTCCTCTTAGGCCAGGGCTGACACTTCCCTTCAGACAGATCACAACTCATGTATATTTACATTAGCCTAATGGGCTGGAAATGTGGGGGTTTTTTTTCCCACACTAACCAAACCTGTTTCAGAGAAAGCCCAAGTTTGTAACAGCACAGGTAGTAGTCAGCCTTTCCTTTGAACGGCACCACAATTAAAACAGTGATTTCCATCTGCTGGAAGTGTAGTAATATACCTGTTCTCATAAATATCCTGGATCTCGTACACCTTCTGGTCAATAACGTCACTGGAAACACGGCTGGCCTGGAGCTCGTACACCTTCTGGTCAATGAGATCTGACACCGTCTTGTGAAAATACTGAATGAAGTTTTTGATCACTTCGGGGATCACCTGGTAGGTCTGCTGTTCGTACTGGCGCTCGTAGGCCAGGTCTTGCTTCGGGTCTCCTGCGGAGAAGCAGCAGTGAGGCAGCCGCCTCACGGCCCGGCCCGGGCCCGCAGACCCAGCCGGGCGCTAGCAGGCCCGGGGCGCGCGTGGGGCCCTCACACTCACCCGTGTGCATATCATAGTCGTTGGAGTAGGCGTAAGGGTCGTAGGCGGCCTGTGGGGAAAGGACAGCAGTGAATCCCCGCGAACAGCCCGGAAACGGCCCCCGCGCCCCCCAGACCCCGCCGT